AAAGGAGCCAGAAGTTGCTCACGTACCAGGGTGGGAAAATGTCTCTAACACAGGGTTCCATCCAAAGTCTGTTAACAATTATTTTCCATACGTGGGAAATACCAGTGAGGGCTTCAAAATGTTCATGGAAAGATAGAATGAAAAGACAATGGAATTTCCCCCAAAACAAACTTTTATCCCCCTCATAAAAGTTTTGTAGTTTCTCATATATGTGGATGCTCTGGGGAGCAACCAGGAACCTGGCTTTGAAATTGGGTCGATTCTGGGGAATCTGGGTTAGGTGATGACGGTACATAGTCTGCGATTGAGGGGATGCTTGGTCAAGTTCCAGCTCTCCATGAGGAAATCAACTCAGCTAGTAGCAACACTGGGTAAAGGGCAGCCGACTCCCGAAAACAACCAGGCTGAGGTCAGCGGTGCCGCTGAGCATGAGCTCCGGAGCGGTCTCAACTGGCTGGCCTGAGTCACCGGGAGAAGTGGAGAGAGAGAGAGAAGAAAGTCAGCAGAGATAAGAAAGGGAGCGGAGCAGAGCGAAAGCAAGCAAGCGAGCAGAGAGAATACGTAGAGCACGAGGGTCAGGGAAGCGAGACAAACCGGCAGAAGGCAGGGAAAGACAGAAGCTGCTGCGAGCAGTCGAAGAGGAAGCAGCGTCTCGGCAGCTGCCCAGGGCCGTCTGGCCAGGATCGGCTGCCCAGCGGCCCGGCCCATCTCGCTCCTGTGACTAGTATGCTCTAGCCAAAACCACAAGGAACTTTCCAAGGAATGTCTTCACACCAGTTTCCTACAGCTGCCAAGACAGCGTACCACCAACCAGTGGTTTACAACAACGGAAACGTAGTCTGCGGTCTCTCGCTGTGTGGAGGCCAGAAGTCCTAATTCAAGGTGTCGACGGGCCAAGCCTCTCCTAAGGTTCGAGGGGAGACCCTCCTCCTCTCTTCCGGCATCTGACGGTTTCCGACAACCCTGGGTGGTAAATGTATCACGGCGACCTCGGCCTCTGTCTTCACATGCTGTCTCTTCTCGTGGATAGACACCACTC